TAGATAAAGTGGGCGCATGACCCCAAATGTCTGTGTAAATAAGATCTAGTACATGAGAACTAGAGGAAGCAACACGAGGGATAGAAAAACGGGCAGATTTGCCTAATTGACACGCATTGCATAAAGAATTAGTACAACGAATATTATCACGAGATCCACTAACTAAACAAGATCGAAGTATATGGCTAAGAACACGGTTATGAGGATGACCCAGACGATTGTGCCAAGTGGAAGCCGAGGCACGAGCGGAAAGAAACGCTGACGGAGACGAACTAGGTAATGGAAGTGTGTATAGTCCCCCAGAACTATTGCCCCGAAGAAGTATTTCCTTGGTATTGATATCCTTCACAACAAAAAAAGAGGGGTGAAACTCAAAAAAGACTTTATTATCGGATGCAAACTTCTGAACAGATAATAAAGAATTAGACAAACGTGGAACGTGAAGTATATCAGACAATGTGAATGATCTAGAAGGGGTATTAAAAGAAGCATGACCAACATGACTAATAGATAAACCCATACCGTCACCGACACACAAGGTGTCATTGCCAACATATTATTCTGAGGTGGTCAAAGCAGCAATGTCCGGAGTAACATGATTAGTTGCCCCTGTATCCGGGATCCATGTCTTAGGAGTACCAACATTTGAATTATCTTGATATGTTAGATTGGCCTGAGGTGGGGAATCATACCGGTTATAGCATACATGAGCCTCGTGACCAGTCTGCTTACATATCTGGCACTGAACCTGATTGCCACCATTGTTGCGTCCGCGACCGCGGCCACCTTGCTGTCTACCGCCACTACCACGATTGGACCCGCCGTTGCCACCGCCTGCTCGTTGACCGCCGCCACGGTTCTGACCTCCGCGACCTGATCGGCCGCCACCGCGCTGAACAGCAAGAGCCGCCGGAGCACTGCCGTAATCACGGCTGGCGATAAATTCCTGGGCGCCGAGGAAGTCCGCCAACTCTTGGAGCGTGACCGACTGCCCACAGACGGCAAGAGACGCGGTGAGGGCACGGAATCCCGATCTCAAGCCGCGAAAAACAAAGAGATTCTGATCGTCGAGGGAGACGACGCGGCCGGCGAGGGTGAGCTCTTCAACAATCATCTGAGCTCGCCCGATGTAATCCGCAACTGACGAATCACCCTGGTCCAGTCCCTGCAACTGGCCGAGAAGGTTTAATGCACGGGCGCGGGAGGAAGACGACAACGTCTGAACAATGGCCTCCCAAAGGGCACGACTCGTGCGACGTCCGACGGCGATTGGCATGACCTCGTCAGAGAGGGAGGAGACAAGCATGGACAACAATGCTTGATCTTGACGCATCCAAACAGCATAGGCGAGGTTCGGCCGTGGCATAGCGTCGGCGGTGTCGGCGTCGGCAGGAAGAAGAACAGCCGGTGAGGGTTTCGTACCATCAACAAACCCCATTAGGTCATGCACGTGAAGAAACGGGACGACTTGCGTACGCCAGAACAAATAATTCTTGTAGGTTAACTTCGTACTGATGAAGTGATGTGCGGTGGATAGCGACACAATTGACGACGAACTTGACGACATAGCAGCATCAGACACGGTCCGTTCGGAGGAATTAACAGATCCGTCAGCCATAGGGACGAGAGACAAAGAAAAAAACCCTAGCTTACTGATACCAGATGAGAACTGATTGTATTGTATTTACTGAACTTGATTACAATGAGATCAGATGATGTGAATATATAGAATAGAGAGTCACAGTGTGACAATGATAAGAAGTAGAGAGTCACAGTGTGACAAGGATAAGAAGTTCTAAACAGACTCATATACATAGAGTCCTAACAAGATGCACATCTTCTTTATTTCATTTGGTGTGGGCAATAAACATTTAATTAGTATATATACTACTATATTTTAGTTAAGCCTCAGACATTTTGTAACTTATTTATATAAGCATGCAACTATGCAAGTAATAGTCACAACATTTTGTTACTTTTTAAAAAGTCAATATGCTTAAGCAAAGGTCTCCGATTCAAGCCCTGGGCTGCTTGGTGTAGGCTAACCTTTGCTTATCGCCCTTATTTAGTTAATTTTTTTTTTTTTTTTTTTTTTATAATTGTTCACAATTTTTTCTTTACTGTATAAAAAAAAGTATAAAATTAGGCTCGATTACTATTATTACTCAAGAATTGGTTGAGCACGTGTATTTTGCAAGTTATTACACATAAATAAAATTTACACAATGCGCACACTTTCGGATAACAATTACAATTTTTCTCATCATCTAAAAAATAAAAAAATAAAAATAAATAAAAAATAGAAACAAGAAAAGAAAAGAAGTGGTTGCCAACTAAAACCATCATTTTAAAGTCACTTTGAAATAATAGGTAGCAAATTACCAATTATTTTGACCTTTACTTCCTAAATATTATTATCTTATTTACCCCCAAAATATTTTCTTTGGCGTCGTTAAGCTTAGTTACTATGAAAGTAACTCTTCTTTAGTTGTTATACTTAATTAGGTAAGTGATATATCATTTAGGGAAATAATAGCGAATGTTACATAATGTTATTACGGAGTATTTTATGAACAATGCTTCCATATAGTGTGTCCACGTACATTAAAATAATATTTGTTTTACACAATAATGATATTTATTCAATATATTCAATTTAAAATAATGGCTGCAATTCCCCTATGCCATCCGAAACAATAAAAAGTATGCCACTTTCTACAAAATTTGTAAAGAAAAGGTAAAAGTGGTGTTGAACAATTTTTGACTTTTATTGCATTGACAGTACAACAACTTCGTTCATCCGTTAATTACTCCCGCAGTCATATTCAATTCTGATCTTATGTATCTATTTTTTTTTTTTTAATATTATTGACTACATTACAATGTAGTCCAAAGAGTTAATACTCCCACCAGAGTTTGATATTGTGATCTTTCCTCAATAAAAGTTACAGATGTGTCATATGAGTACAAGGTGCAGTGTTTGGCTCTTATGTATCTAGTTGAATTAATAAAAATAAACTTAAATTATTTACAATATAATTTTTTGTTATATTAGATTAACAATAATAAATGAAATTTATATATTACACTTTTATTAAATACCAAAAAAAAATCACATTGAAGTTTATAAGAAATTAAAAAAAAAAAAAGAATCCGTTTGAATAATTAATTATAGTAGATAGGACAAATAAAGTAAATTGGATGGGGATTATGTTATGCTTAGTCCAAAGTTAATGGCAATTATTTTAACTTTTTTTTTAAGTATATCTAAAAGAGTATAAATTAATTTAAGATGTATTGTATAAACTTTTAGACTCATTTACTTCAATTATTTAGTTTTCCATTCTCAATTTTTTATTTTTTATTTTTTGTTTTCCAAATTGGAAAAATATACAAGTAAACAAATGACTTGTTTTCCTTTTTCTAATTTCTTATTACTCTAGAAAAAAAAATAGAAGATTTTTTAAATTAGTAAATGTACCATTAAATTTAGACTTGTTGTTTTTGATCCTCCAACTATTATTCATTTATTACGGCCCTATTTGGTAAATGGTTGTTAGCTGTTAGCTGATTGGCTTAATTAGAAAGTATAACTAGTTGATACTTGATAACATTAGTTGATTGTAAAAAGGTGTTTGGTAAATTAGCTGTTAGCTGATAGCTATTTGGCATAATTTCTTTTCTCAAAAAGTTAATTGAAAAAGTTATTTTGACCAGCTTTTTGAATTTTAGCATTTTAGAGTTACAAAAAGCTAATTAACCGAACACTTATATTGATTTTTTAACCAATTCAAACAATTAATAGTCAAAATTGACTAATAAGCTAACTATTTTATCAAACATGGCCTACATGCATTTGGTTCCAACTATTAATCTCAGTAACAATATTGTGTATTTAGACTTGAATCATTGATGGATGATTTTTCCCTTGTAACAATAACCTCAAGTGAGAGAATTTTACATTTTTCGACAAGAAATTGCCATAGATTTAGTCGTCAGGAGCAATGTAGCAACAAAAATATATTTGTTCACCAAATGTGACAAAATTAATATATAGTTAATGTTGAACATATAACATATTAACATAAATGTTCAATCCAATTATCAGCTTAGACTTTTAGTTGGGAAGTTCAATTTGATATTTAAAAAAAAAAAAAAGACTATGGTCCACACTGTGCTTGGAGCCTATCAAAAAGCAATCGGCTCACACATGTGAGGGGACGCGTTGAGCATATATAATATATGTATAAGTTGATATGGAGCATATGCTTCAATTATTGTTAAGAACCAAATGTGAAAAGTGAATAATAGTCATGAAATCAAAAGTGGCAATAAATCATTAAGTTTATGACATTGGATAGTGATATATATATATATATATATATATATATATATATATATATATATATATATATATGAATTGTTGCCAATTAAAGGCAATAGATATGCATTATGCTACTTATTAGCTGTACCATACTAGAAATGATACTATATACTATACTGTATGTCACATATCATGACAAGAAGTTTAGAATTTAGAGGGCCTTCTTCTACAAGATCCTTGTTTTATGCAGCAATTTCCTCTTCCATTTAATTGCCATATATATATATATATATATATATATATATATATATATATATATATATATATATAGCTATCATCAAAAGAAACCTCAGCTCATTTCTGATCTACCAAGCTACTAATATAATTCTCAACAGAAATTGTTGAAGAGTCTGAAGAAACGCATGTATATGCATGCACTGCCCCACCCAAAATCAAAAACTTTAATTTTACTAGACCTAGCTAGCTCCTCATCAGCACATGACAAGATCTAGTTTTTGTTCCCTAGACAAAAGTGAGCCCACTAGTATTGGCTTTAGCTTTGACTCCAACCCATATTGGATGGCATATTTAGTGACACAAAATTGACCATTGCCCTTCTCATTTCACACTATATATGCACCTTAATTAATTAGCTTCTTCTCATTAAAGTAGCTTAGCTAGCTCATCTTCTCTTCTTGAACCCACCTGCAGATCATCAAGATGGGGAGGCTCAGTTTTGGCTTGGATTCTTTGTGCCTGTTTTCTGGATCATCATCATCAGGCTCTTGCTTTTGCAGCAATGGTTTTGACAGTCCAGATGATTTTGAGAAGAAGCCTTTCATTGGTCCTAAAGTAGGGCAGGTGGTCAAGTTGAAGGATGTTGTTGCAGAACCTACCACCTTGGCTTTTCACCTCAAGCCTAAGGTAAATATAATATATATATATGGCTTTCACACTTCTGTCTTTTCTTCCTATTTCTCCATTTTTGGTGACAGTACAATTGAGGGAAACCCTCATACATTGACTGAGGTTATGCATTGGGTAAACCTCGTTCTTGTATAATAGTCCATAAACTATACAAGAGAGTTATAATGTAAACCGCCACATATATACATGCAGTTTTGCTCTTTTTTCCCTTGTTAGTTGGAAACTAGATTAACTAATGAAAAACATGATTATTATGACAATAAGCTAATTAAGGGAAATTAAAGTGTGCTAATCTTAATTATATTATGTTGTTAAACCATGTAGACAGTGGTGCTAAGGGTGTCCATGCACTGCAAAAGCTGTGCAAAGAAAGTGGAGAAACATATCTCCAAGATGGAAGGTATGGCTACTACTATCGCTACATACTGAAAATTATGAAATTTCTTACCACCTGATCTTAAATGAAGCCGAAATTCTTGTTCCGACCACTTTTGGTATCCGGAAAAACCTTTATTGCTATTTCTGATCACTTTTTACTTTTAACTTGATTTAAGATCACTTTCAAGTGGTCGGAAATTTCATAATTTCTAATAGTGTATACACTAATTTATATTATTAATTACATGCATAATTAGTTACTATTGTCAAGAAATACTCCTCTTAGACTTATATTGATTTATGCTTATTCTTTAAAAAAGAAAAAAAGAAAAAGAAAAAAAAAGGAGAGATATAACTATTCTCAAGTATAATAATAATTTTTATTTTTTATTTTTTTGAAAAATCACACTATAAAAACTTATCATAGTATATTATTCTCAACCACATACTAATTAATATAATTATGATATATGTTGAATTGCATTCAATGTATAATGTAGTTAATACGACATTACATTGCGTCACTGTTAAATGTATATTACAATTTATTTTTAAATTTTCATCAAAATTATACGGAGTATTATTGTTTTTTAATAATGTGCAAATATATGATATGATTTATTTTTTTTTTTTAAATGATGCAGGAGTAACTTCATACGAAATAGACATGGAAACAAAGATGGTTGTCGTGATAGGTGATGTTGTGCCTTTCGAAGTGTTGGAGAGTGTTTCAAAGGTTAAAAATGCCAGCTTTGGACCACTTCTCCTCACCTTACTTAATTCATCTCATCTCTTCTCATGTTTATATATTGAAGTTTATTTTGTAAATTTCAAGTGGCAATATGATGTTAAAAAATCGAGGAAGTTGACCGCATGTGTTTAGCTGGTTCAGTATGCAGTATTTAGGAGAAGGAAAAGAATCGAGAAAGTTTAACTTAGCTTGTGTTTCAATAATAATGTTTGTGAGAGCTCCCAAAATTGATAGCAATTTAGCTTTGTATGTATTAGTCTGAATTTAATGCAAATATTTTGCGTATTGAGATGATTACAATGTCCGAAAATAATTATATGAAACTATTAAAAATGAACTTTCAAAAAATGATAATTCTGTGTATTAAAAATGAATATTCCAACCGTTATGCTATGGAATCGTGTCCACCTTGCAAGGTGGACACGATTTTATGTTTATAATTACTGAATTATATGTTCATAATTATAAAGTTACATATTCATAATTTTTGAACTCTATATTTACAATTACAGAACTCTGTGTTCATAATTACTGAACTATATGTCATAATTATAAAGCTATATATTCATAATTTTTGAACTTCATATTCACAATTATTGAATCTCTATATTCATAATTATAGAACTATATGTTCACAACTCTATGTTCATAATTTAAAATTATATATTCATATATATTCATAATTATGAACTATCTTGAAACCGTATCTACCTTGCAAGGTGGACACGATTCCACAGCATAATTTCCCACCGACGAATGTGCCGAAATCTGATGTAGTGTCATATTAGGCCCAACACAAAATTTTAGTCCATTTCAAGCATATGTTTCCAGATTATTAGAAGGGCAATATAGTTTTGGGTCTTAATAAATAAAGAGCTCACAGTATTCATCATTTCCATGCTCTTTTTATGGGCTTATTAAGTTCAAAATATATATAATTGTAGGTCTAAACATGATTTCATTTAATTAGACAATTTAAATTTTTGGAGTTATTTTTTTTTATGGTAGAATCATCACGAATCAAAAGACAAGTAATTGTGGTTTAATTGCACCACTCTTCCTTTTCATAAATAAAATTTTAAATTTGAGTCCCATCCTAATCATAATTGGTATAATTGTTCTTTTTAATGAATAATATTGAAAACAAGCTTTCAATTCAATCCCAATATGGGTTATTACAACTTCTTAAACAAGTGAGGTAATGTTGCCCATAAATGAAAGAAGACATTGTACTAGGGAAGTCAATTGCTGGTTAAGAAAATGGTGTCTAAATAAGACACAAGACTCCATATTTATAGTATTTTTAGGGTAATTAAGATATAAGGAGAAATAAATGGATGACAAGCCTATAAAATTCCAGACCATACATGTGTCCATTCGAGTGCCAATCAACTACTATTCACTGCTTTCCCCATTCGCACATCCATCTAATTTATTTGAGTAGTAACAAGTGAAGTTCTAATAGCATCCACACCGGGAGCAAGTGGGGAGAATGTACTATTTTTAATGTATTTAATGCTTATATGGATGAGAGATAACAGAGAGAGAGAGATAAAATTGGGAAGCAACTACAATGGCCGAGAGAATGGCAGAATGGTGGGACCCAGCATGAAAAAGAGCCAAACGTGACAGTTACTCGTGACTGTCACGAGTGCACCCAACGGGCGCGTCAGATGCGCCTTATATTCATTTTTTTCTAATTTTAAAATATTTTTTTTTTCCTCTCCCCTGTTATATTCTCTTTCCTAATCAATCTTATAATAACCCTATAATATCTCTAACTGATAATATTGCTCTAACTATATTTTACGGATGCACGTATATGTAGCTATTGATGTGCTTAACCATGATGAACATTTTTAGACTTAAAACGACTGCACCGTCATTGAGAAATTTCTTTTAAGACATTGTTATTGAACACGACACAAATTCTTGTTCTATCCCTTTAATTTAGTCTTAAACGAACATCCAACCAAACAAGTAGTTGTGCTACAACATATTTTCAACACATTATACGTTTAAAGACCTTATATTTGATGTCTTGTTGTGTTTTGACCCTCAAATCTTGCAACAATTATGCCATAGACTCGGGTCCAAAATACACAATTTATATAATATGAAGTTCACAATTTGAGTTGTGAACATTCAGTATGTAAATTGTGAACATTTAGTATATAAAATTGTAAACATTTTGTATGCAAAGTGTGAACACGAATCTACAGAATAAATTCCCAAAATCTTGCAATAGTTATGTTGTGCAACCGAATGCACCATGCGCATGGTGCATACGATGCAAAACGACGTCGTTTTGACTAAAAACGCGCGTCCCACTTAAAAAAAAAAAATCAGGTTCGATTCTCGGCAATAGCATTATTGTGGATATATAGTTATGAATTTCTGGATATATAGTTATGAATTTCTGGATATTTAGTTCATTCATTGTGGATATTTAGTTCATTCATTGTAGATATTTACTTCATTCATTCACTGTGGATATATAGTTATGAATTTATGGATATATAGTTATGAATTTCTAGATATATAATTATGAATTTATGGATATTTAGTTCATTCATTGTGGATATTTAGTTCAATCATTGTGGATATTTAGTTCATTCATTGTGGATTTTTACTTCATTCATTCACTGTGGATATATAGTTATGAATTTGTGGATATATAGTTATGAATTTATGGATATATAGTTATGAATTTATGGATATATAAAAATGCTATTGCCGTTAATCGAACTTGATTTCTTTTTAAAATGAGACGCGCGTTTTTTAACCAAAACGACGTCGTTTTGCATCGTATGCACCATGCGCATGGTGCATTCAGTTGCACAACATAATTTGCTCAAATCTTGCAATCATTATTGTGTGGAGTGTGGACCATGGTCCACACAAGTTGTGTGGATCATATTTTGTCTCCTGTAAAATAATGTACATTCAGTACAAAAATAATGTATATTCAGTACAAAGATAATATACATTGTATTCAGGGGATGTACATTATTTTTGTTCTGAGTGTACATTATATTGTATAATGTATATTCAATACAAAAATAATATATATTTAGTATATTAAAAATGTACTTTTTGTTATGGTCCACGTAACATTATGTGGACCTTGCCCAAATCTTGACTGTAGGCTCTAATAATCATTTGGATCAAATAAAATTGTGGACCATGGCCGAATGGACCCAGGCCACTCCTCCTTTATTGAGAATTCAAAGTTGAGAGTAACAACGCAAATTGGCAAATTATGCAGAGGACACGAGTTTAAAACGACGATATTCTAGTTATAAAAAAAATTGATTTTGTCTAGCCGTTAACGGTGTTATTCGTTTATGAAATTATGAATGTAAAGTTATGGACTTATGAATGTACAGTTATAGAATTATTAACACAGAGCTCTGACATTATGAATTTACAATTATGAACATATAGTGATAAAATTATGAACGTAGAGCTCTAAAATTGTGAATGTAGAGCTTCGAAAATTATGAATTACAGTTATGAAATTACGAACACAGAGCTCTAACATTATGAACTTACAATTATGAACATATAGTGATAAAATTATGAACATAGAGCTTCTAAAATTATGAATTTACAGTTATTGAATTATGAATGTACAGTTATGGAAGTATGAATGTACAGTTATGGAATTATGAACATAGAGCTCTGACATTATGAACTTACAATTATGAACATATAGTGATAAAATTATGAACATATGCTCCTATAACGAAGCGCTCTGAAATTAAAAAAAAAAATTGGTGGAAGATAACGGTGCCACTAACGGCACCGTTACCGTGTCCACAATGTATGCTGGACACGGGTCCATAGCATAACGACTGACGCAAATTATGCTATGGAAACGTGTTCACCATGCGCATGATAAACACAGGTGTAGATTCATAATTTCTATGCTGTAAATTCATAATTTTGTTTTTCATTTGTTGTTAACGACGTTTCTCTCTTCGCAATCGCATTATTTCGTCTTCACAGTACAGATATTATGAATCTACAGTATAGAAATTATGAATTTATAATATAAAAATTATGAATCTACAGTATAGAAATTATAAATCTACAATATAGAAATTATGAATCTACAATATAGAAATTACGAATTTACAGCTTATAAATTATGGATCTATCCCGTCCGTGTTCACCATGCGCATGGTGAACACGGTTCCACAACATAACATATTGAGAGTAACAATAGTACCTTACTCATCCTTAAAATATATGATAAAATGATAAACTAGCCCGCATGAATAGCTCAATTAGTCATAGGGTGAAATTTGAAAAAAAAAATGATTAGGGATCGAGTCTCACTAAGTATATTGTAGGAGTAATATCTTGAAGTGAAAGGGCTTCTTGTGCACATGATTTACATTCTTTCAGATATCCTGTTGGGTAGGGATAATGATAAACTAGCCCGCATGAATAGCTCAGTTAGTCATATGGTGAAGTTTGAAAAAAAAAAATGATTAGGGATCGAGTCTCGTATTGTAGGAGTAATATCTTGAAGTGAAAGGGCTTCTTGTGCGCATGATTTACATTCTTCCAGATATCCTATTGGGTAGGGATTGTGGATTCAACATTTTGGGAAAAATAAAATGATAAACTATTGGGTACGGATTATTATGTTTTGGACGAAGTGGTTGGGCGATAATAATGGGACTGGAGTCATTAATTTAGCCTTTGTATTACGTAGTCAAATCTCTCTTTCATCCTTCTCACTCAACTTTCCAGTTTCCACCATAAAAATCTTCTACTTTCTTCTTCTTCTTCTTCTCTCTCGCGCACACTGATACTCGCAACACGAAAATGGCAAAGCGGCTCTTGTTTTTTATCGCCCTCGCCTTTGTCTTCACTCTCTCCCGCTCCGACCCGGATCAGACCCCGAAAGCGACTCTATCCGATGCTCACCGCGAGCTAATCAAGTACGGATTTCCCATCGGGCTTCTCCCGACAAACGTCCGAGGCTACAGCCTTAACCGGACCACCGGCAGCTTCGTCTTGTTTCTTGACGACAAGTGCCGAATCACTCTCCCGCCGGATAACTACCTGGCGACTTATTCGAAGAAAATCACGGGGAAAATCGTCGAAAATCGTATGGCCGAGCTCGACGGGATCAACGTCAGGGCTTTCTTCAAGTGGTGGGGCATCACCGGAATCAGATCCAGCGGCGACAACTTGGTGTTCGAGGTTGGAATGGTCACCGCCAAATACCCTTCTAAGAATTTCGACGAGAGCCCTGAGTGTGAGGGCAAGCGCTCCTCTTCTTGAGGGTATGTACTGCCGTTTGCTTCCCTTAATTTTTTACTTCCTTTTCCAATCTGCTTTTACTTTCAGTTCAATTACTAAATTCACTTGTTTGTTGCTTGCTTGCTTTGTAGTTTACATATGTTATTGTGAAGAATTATGTATTTAGGTTGATATAACTGTTACTTACTTTCAAGATTAAACTTTATTAGTGAAAAATGCTAAAGGTATGAGCTCTGGAACAAAAAATTTAAGAAAATTGTAATCTGGCCTCTTTCCCCCATGAGAAAATTTCTCACCTTTATTGAATTTGTTAAAACTGGAAAGTCAACTCTGAGATCCCCTAAATCAAGTAATTACTAACCTAGCCAGACCCTTAATCCAATTTATAGGGTTCAAGGCAATTTTTTTCTTGATTTTCTTGAAAAAGTATGACCCTTTTTAAACTTTGTTGTTATGAGGGTGAACTTGCTATTTTGTTGATGACAGGGAAGTTAATTGTATGTGCTTGATTACTTCTTAAAGAATTTTACTTTTAAACTAGATTCAGTATCCAAGTTAAGTCAAAGTTTCATGGGTTTTCCTTTTTTAGAAGAGGAAAAAGTATGGCGAATTGCTGATCCTTAGCATGTGGTGAAACGTATGTACATACTACATAACTGAGTTTTCACTCTTCCAATTATGTGTGGTTTTCTAATGTCTTTACTTTTCTTTGTTCCCCAATGAGTCCGAGCATTTTGGGTTTGTTAGTTGGACAGTCTATTGTCATTACTACTGCACATGCATGATGATGCCAGCTAATTGTTGCTGCTTATACATTTGTATATACACAAATGTCTCTCTGTGTGTATTTATTTATTGTATGTATGTGTGTGTATAAATCTTGGTTGCGGTTTTTTGGTTTCAAATTAAAAAAAAATCAGTTCTTTTATCATGACCTTTAATTTGTTAGTTGAAATCTATCACTCTATAGTTTCCGAGTGAACTTTTTTATGTCCCTCTAGCATTTGACAAATATAGCTTTTGCAAGTTCATTTTTATAGTTATTGAATGCATTCTGAATGTCAGACCATAAAAGGAACCAAGTTAATGGTTAACAAGCCGAGGTAACATACTAACATAGTATTAATAAATAACATTAAAATAAACTAAAAATAGTATACTGATATATCGCATGGAGTAGAAGGTGAATATTTAATGGGAAATGTGAACAGAACAGCCAGAGCTCTCTAGTAAAGGCAGAGGAGCCGGGGCGGGGCTTGATACTCGAGTCTAAGAACACATCTTGCTTGAAGTTTCTTAGCCTTATTGTTGCTTTAAGTCTGTTCGATTGCTCTTTGTTACATGTATATCTGCAATCAGTGATGTTGATCATCAGTGTGTGTGTGTGTATATATATATATATACCAGTGTTGCAAAAATCGCGCCTAGGCGGTCGGCCACCTAGGCGCTCGTCTAGGCACTCTAGGCGCCCTAGGCGGTCCCCAGGCGCCTAGCGATTTTTTCAACCTTGATATATACACACACAAACACACACACACACGACATGCACGGGTTTGTGGTTGATATTAGGAATGAAGGTAAATTCTACCATACCGGGGTTGTAAGTTATACTCTCCCTCCATAGTACTTCGGACAAAGAAAAGGGTAGAATTGCACCGAGTATACAAACATCTTAGAATCCCATATGAAATGAATGCATATATGCGTGGCTACTATTGTTGTTCTGCTGATAAACAACAGATTGATTTACTATGGTAAATCCACTGATAACCATTTTGATCCTTTGCAGGTGATTCATCTGTTGTGGATTTTAATTAGCCTGTGAAATAATTTCCGCAAAATAGTGGACGCAGAATGTATTATGTACTGATAAATTAAGTTAAATGTAATCAAAAGATCTAGCTGCCTATGATAGCAGATGGACAATGCATTATTGTTGTATATATGCTTTATGTTTATTGTTTGTACTACGCAATGGCTCTAATGTTATATGCCTAATCGCTTCAATTCAGCAATACCATTTTTCTATGGACTTGGGGGCAGGCTTATGAGATCTAGATTGTAGTCTCAATATTTTGGAGCTAGGGTTTGGGCTCTTGAATTTTTAGATTAGAAATTGGACTCTTCAAGTTGGCGGTAGTGTGGAGATGGATTATTTGTATTTCGGTAGTGTGGAGATGGATTATTTGTATGTAGAGTCAACGATAGGGATTAATTGAGATATTGTTTGGGTGACTTGCGATATATATCTAACAATTCAGGTAGGGGTTCTGGAGATTCAGAATTAGCGTAGCGTAATGTCACAAACATAGAGTTCGGCGTAGCACACAATGTTTGTGCGGCGTCCTGGGGCCCCGCATATTTCGTGGATCGGGGAACGACAATAGCTCCTGACCAGTTGTGCCTTTCGAATCACATCAGTCCTCTTCATAGTTAAGTTCAAGATTAGGGGCAGGCTCCTCAAACTTAATTGTGTTGACATGTCTGATTTGGTCCGACCTCTGGTCCTCTTCATAGTCAAGTTCAAGATTAGGGACAGGTTCCCCAAACTTAACTGGGTTGACATGTTTGATTCAGTAAGACCTTAGCGTCTAAGACAGAACATTCTTAATGCTATTGACGCGCCTTTACCCATTTGGCACACTATTGACGCCCCTTTACCCATTTGGCAAGTTAATTAGTTGGCTCATTCATGATTCATTCATTGTGTCTTAACATAATCACAGAAAACGGTCCATGACAGTAAGCCCCACGTACCTGATCATGTAGTACACCTGCATGTTTAGCATGTTTCCCTGTGCGGTTCACTGCGCTAATATAGAAAATGAATGTTGTGTAGTGTGGTTTACGGAACTGTTGGGAAAGAATACTAAAACTGAACTTTGTTTGATTTATATTACAAGATGAAAATTATGTGATATACATATATCATTGGGCCAGACGAAACACTAAAGTTGGTCTTATAAATTTTACATTATCATATTCCAAATCACTAGCCAAATGAAGGAAATGGATAATATGAGAATAAATATTTGTCAAAACAATCTCAATTCGCATATCATATCGTTATCTTTCCATATAGAAGTTGTTTTGTATTTGGTTCTGTTTATTGTATCATAGCATATCCATTGATTGTATTATACAGGTTTATTGGTTAATCATCATTTATAATACATTATTTATACTAATTGTCTCTCCCTCCTCTCCGTGTCATTTTTATGCTCAAGTATAGGAGTTCTCTCCCACCCCCACCCCAAAACACACACACACACACGAGATGTTATAATATAACTCAAAAAAAAAGTTCATATTTGCATTACACATACAACGCAACACCATTCAAGTTGATTAGACATTTTGTTTGGTAATCATAATGCTCTAAGGGGAGTGTATTCAATCAAGACTTTTATAAATTTTTACAGACTTTTATCGACTTTAAAAGTTTGGTGGTATTCAATTTAGACTTTTAAAAACTCTTTAGAAGTATATTAATATTTAAAAACTAATTAACTTTTGTAGATTCTATCAGAATATGATTTATGTAGACTTTTTCACATGAATTTTTTATTATTATTAAGAAGGGGAATACCCGAACAGTACAGAGCGAAGATCAAAATGTATTACACAAGACAACTAGTAAAAATTAAAATAAAGAAATATTTTTATTGGTTATATCATTAGTGAAAATTGGTTATATTTTCTTTATGTATAATACACTCTATTTTTGTTACATCCTTTATTTGTTATTATTATTATTATTATTATTATTATTATTATTATTATTATTATTATTATGCATTAATTTATTTATGATCTATAAAAGTATATTATGTATTATAAACGTTTTGTAAGAAAATTATAAATAATATATTAATAGAAGTTATGGAATGTTTGTTGGAGTCTTAATGACTTTCGTAGATTTTTTAATATGAAAAGGTTTTTAAAAATTTATAAATATTTGTCCTACGAATTTTTATAGACTCGTATAAAATTAATATAAGTTTAAAAGATTCTATGAAAGTCTAGAAAGATTCTACAAAAGTCATTTAAAATCCAACATTTTAAAAGTATTTGAAAATTTATAAAAGTCTTAATTGAATATACCCCTAAATTCAACTCTCTGTAGGAGCTTGGTTTGAGCCGATCAATTATAAGCAACTTAGATTGAGTTAATTTATTATAATCATTTAGCGGTGTTATAAGATAAAATTTTACTCGAATCACACATTTAAATAAATTATGGTGGAAGATTTTCCCGTAAATCAAAATAAGGAGTAACATTTTGCATGCACGGTGTTAATTGCGTGTGGACGGTGACTAATTAGATATATCGGTCAACGAATGGTATCAATTCTCCACCAAGAAAGTCGGTCATTTGCACCGTACAACTAATAAAATTTGGATACATCATCAACCAAACCAAACTAACCCCCAAGCACGGGTGGGTGCAAATGTGCAATTCCAAATTTGAACAACTCCAATCAAAATCAAAGTCAAATTTCCAAATCTGTAACTCAGAACTGGACCTTCAAACCAAGCTTTCAAAACTTTAAGTTAAATCGTTTTCTATGAATTTGTAAATTTTATCATTATTTCTTTTTGGTGTCACAAAAGATCCTTAAAACGGTACTCACTTCACTATTTAAATGACCATTTCTAAGGCGTCAACCTGAAGAGTTCCTCCCATGCTATTTGGCGGTTCGATCCGCATCACAGTTCCTAGCCTCTTTCTTGACTATTGAATTATGAATGTACAGTTACGAAATTATGAATGTACAGTTATGGAATTATGAACACAGAGCTCTGACATTATGAACATATATAGTGATAAAATTATGAACATATGTTCCTATAACGAAGCGGTCTAAAATTAAAAAAAAAAAAAGAAACTGAAAGATAATGGTGCCACTAACTACACCGTTACCGTGTCCACAATGCATACTGGACACGGGTCCATAGCATAACGATTGCACCCCCGCCCCCCCTTCTCCTTTACCTGGCCCAAAGTCTTTTGTTTTAATTAATACGATGATAAAACACGGCAATTTATATCCTACACCACGGCGCGCGTTGCACTATGCGCCCAGATGCAAAACGACGTCGTTTTAATTATTTTTTTTTTGAAATTTCCCGCCCCAGTGAATGGCAGTAGTTTTTTCTTAAAAAAAAAAACCGCTGTTCAAGAATGTACATAATGTTATACTAGAATACACATAATGTTATACATGAATGTACATAATTATATAACAAAATATACACTCTTTTTAAAAGATAATACACATAATCTAACATAATACATAATAAACATAAACTTTTAACATCATACACATCAACTCGTAACATAATACACACAAATTTTCTGATTTGGATGTACATAATTGTATAAAAAGAACGTACATAATTGTATAAAAAATACACATAACTGTATGAACCAATACACATAACGTTGTGAACAAATACACATAACGTTATGAATAAATACACATAATCTCAGCAACTTCCTACCGCGCCTCCCAACATTACCCCAAAACGACGTCGTTTTGGGAGGCGCGCGGCGCACAGTGCTATGTGCGCCGTGGTGTAGGATATAACGATTGATAAAACACACTTTTGGACAAGTTTGGCTTCTCATTTACCTTGTTGTCAAATTTTCATTAGTTTTTTTTTTTTTTTTTTTTTTTTTAATTATATCTTTTTTGTCCATCTGATCTAAATAAATCATTTACTAAATTTTTATATAGACAATATAAATATATTGTATATGTACAATCTAATCATTTTGTTAAAAGAAAACCATTTACATATTATTTTTTAAATCTAAACCCAAAAATAAACTACTAATCCGTTAGTTGTACAATTTAAAAAAACAAAATCATAGTATAGTTAAGAACTTTTCAAATACAGGGTTTAAATTAATTTTTTTAAGACATAATATATGGAAAAGATATATATTTTTATAAAATTAAATAGATATTTTATACAAATACATACTACAATGTAATAGAATCAATAATATATATATATATATATATATATATATATATATATATATATATATATATTAAAATAGGCCTTCTGTGGCTCTATCCCAATGCATCCTAAAAGTGCGTGTAAAGCGTTCGTCTCATTCAACCTTGTTTATTACGTGGCAATTTTGACCAAACTTTCTTTTTTCAAATCAATGCACGTAAATAACACTACAAATTACGGGGTTTTTATTTATTTATTTTGTTAAAGAAACCCAACAAAAAGAAAAGAAAAAGAAATCGGCCGACGTCTGCGTAATATTCGGTTACCGAGTGGCCAATTTGGCAATTTGTAAGCAATAAATACTTATACATAAAATACTGCAATTAACTATCTTATAGCTGTTACATCAACAATATGAAACCGAGTATTTTTTTTTCCACGTTGGATATGATGGATGAATTTATTAAACAAACATATTTTGTTGTGTCTTCATGTTCATTTCAATTTAATTGCATACACTATTAGACTCATATAATATTGAAATTAAAGATTAGTATTTTTTTTTTCTAGGTGACGAGAAAAATTTACACTCACTATTTAAGGATGTGCATTGAGTAACTCTCTCGCTCTTATATTCTATGCATTTTTTTATCACTCAAATTTCTCTATTCCCTCATCGCCTATACACTTTTGCACCCTAATTACTACTCAGGTTCTCTACCTTGACCCTGCCGTTGAAAGTACGACTATAACTAATACTTATAACATGTTTATCATTTTTTAAAGTGGCAATTACTTTTCGTGCATTAACGTTTTTTTTTTTTTTTTTTAACAAAGCATCAACGTTATGTTTATGTTAATTATTACTTATGTAAAATATTATGATAGATCATATCATGCAATGTCAAATTTAATACTATGTTAATACCACTTTTATCTCAAGAGTACCAAATAAGTTTCTATACACATATATGCATACACAGTATATGATTGTCAAGTTGATGCTAAAACTTGCATCTTCTATATTTTATGAAGATTATATTCCGCGTAGAAATCTTTAATTGTCAACGTCGACTTTGCTTAGCTTCTTGAGAAATGGTCCATATTCAACTTATGGTGCGTGCAAAATGTGAAATCAAACCATATAGTTCAGCCGTGTGATATGCTACATACACTGCATCTATATATAACAAAATCACACGTCATATTGAAAACCTTTTAGTTTATTATGAGTTTATATACTAGACTATTATATGTGCCAATGACCTTGTGATCTAGTGGCATGAAGTAGTGCAGCTCTTCCAAGTGAGAGGTCATGGGTCTGAGTCTCAGTCTTACGGTATTGACTATTTGTGCTTCAGTAGATTGAGAAAGTAGTTATGAACAGATACTACATTGTAACAGAGTCAGTAGTACTAAAAAAAAATAGACTATTATATGTTTCATGTTTATATTATAATAAATACTTTATTCATGATTAGTATTATATTTTCAGTATAAATATTTTTATATTGATCCGATCTGACCTATTTTGTGAATAAAGATTCGTAAAACGTTTTGCCGTAAGTGTGACTCTATGATATAAGATGCGAATCTATCACATTACCACCCGCTCATAATCTTCTCCACCGTATTCATATAATATACAACATTAAAGCGTGACCTAATATATATTCCCCATTTGGGATATTGGCGAAAAATGGGGTCGGGGGCTATCTTATTACGTAATACACTAATACGGAATAATAACTAAAACGAGCAATTAATAATAAAAAAGAAAAATGAGACATATCCAAATAATCTTATCTTTACGCGCGAAAACAACGCGTGAGGAGCACGAGCAAAGCAGAGACAGACAGGTGGTCCTGGTACTTCCAACGCCAAGAATCAACCACTGCGCTTTTCCAGCTGATCCCGTTTACCCACGCGCCTTTCCCGCCCGTGACGCATCGCCGCTTCAGCTCCAATCAGCGTTCAATTACGCAGCAGAAACAAGAAAAGTCCCCAACTAACACTCCAAACAAAAACAGCGAAAGAGAGAAGAAAGCTTTCGTTTCAAAGATTTTTTTTTTTTTTTTTTTTAGTTTTTTGTTTTTTCATTCGTTCGTTACCATCCCGAATGAAACCCCCTAACCCCTTTTCTCCTTCACCTGCGTAGAAGCCCTAGTCGTTTTCTCTCCCAGTTTCTTTCCTTCCTACAGGTATTCTTTTCTTCGGAATTTTCCGGCTTTGACACCATATATTATACGTGCGCTTCTTTGAATTTGGATGTGTAGAATGTTTCTGGGTTCAGATCTGCGACTGGGTATTCCATACTATGAATATTTATTGATTATTTCGAAAGTTTGGATTTTTGTGTGGTTAATATATGTGTTTTATATTTACGCCGGGGATAAGCTTGATTGCAACGATGCCATGAGGGGAGTATGGAGTTTGCTGGCAGCGCTTGGTATGGGTTTTCAGGGATTTTGGGCAATGTCTAAATTCTCAATGTGGGGGACTGCTTTAAATGCCAAATGTGGGTGTGCTGATGTTTTGTTCTTATCTATATTTTTCGTTTTGGGCTCTTGAGTTTCCAGTATTTAGCTAAATGTCATTCTTTATTGGAGTGTATAAGTAATGGATGTGATTACTGATCGTATTTGTGCTTATATTTCTTGTTTGTTTTAGCCAATTAGTTGGGTTATTTTGTTGACTTGTTTTCTCCATTCTTCCGTCAAATACCATTCCCAGTGAAGAAGAGATTAAAAGTAAAAAGAGAAAGAATTTGTGTGGTTCTTGGGAATGATAGTATGCTTTTTTATATGTCAAATTGAGCTTTAATAATCTCTAGAACATGCACATACTGCTACTAAGTTTTCGGAGGTTGTATACTTGTTTTTATGTAGGTGAATGCCTCCCTTTACTTGTTTCAGTTTCATATCCTTTGAAAATCATAGAGAGTTACTATGTAGCCATGGAATAGAGGGCAATGATAATCAGATTCAGGACCAACATATCTGACATGGTTGCATGCATTTTAAATAATTCAAGTGAGTTCCTTTTGTTTGTTGAATGTAGACAGGACATGGTTACATCAAGATTATAACAAAATGAAGTTTTAGTAATGGAGTTTATAAGCACCATGCAAGTTTACTGTAGTCTACAATTCTACGTATAGGGAGAAATAGGAAAAAAGTGTCTTAGTCAATTGTTGCCAAAGTTTTTATTTTTTATTTTCTTCTAAATGCAATATGTATGTGTTTTTTGGAAGTGATTTGTAGAGAAAGATTATTGTTTTTACATTACATGGGATATATGCATAGCTCGACACCTTATTTTGCTATGTCCACAATTTTTTCAAAAATGATTTTTAACAACAGATCAGCTGGGAGGGTTTCATCAGCACTTCTAACTGCCTTTCACAACTTGGACGTGGAAGATAGCTTTCTTGCTAAAGGTGAGATGCTTCCTCATGCTGTTGTTTCTTGGATGTTTTAAAACATTTCCCTTGGTGTTTCCTCAGGCAGCCTTTGCAGTGTCCCCTGTTTCTTGAACTTGAACTTGAACATGTATAGAGTATTGAAGAGTTTGTTTCTCTACACTGACTTGCTCAATCCACTTCTGGACAAGTATTCGACATTTATTACTGGTTTAATGTGCTTTGGGTTGTATAGATTGCTCCTTCAAATCCTTTCTGTTGCATGTGGCTTTTAAGTACGATATCTAGCTGATTCTTGAATACAGAAAATCAAGTTGATTCTTCTCTAGTTTTCTCCGATTATTTTAGCTTCTTGTGCAAGGATATCCTTTAACAGTCTTAGCCTTGGCCTTGCAATTACACTTACACTCTTTATAAAAGCAAAAGTCCCCTATTGTTTTGATACCCTCTTTTGTTTCCTTTTTATTTATTTATTTATTTATTTATTTTTATGTAATTGGAATATAGATTGCATGCTTTATTTTACCAAAATTTTGAATTAATAAATCAAGTAAGATATTGAGGATGTTTTCCTCAACCTACATTGGCTTGAGGTTTGATACTTCTCATCTCAGTCCTGAAGTGTTTCTCATAAAACTAAGGGTTGTAGAAAATGGGAGATGAAACCAACCCTTTTTGTGCTTTGTGGTGGAGAGTGGCTTAAAATTTGATTGGTTCTATGGCACCATATGAGCCATGCAAGGTCTGTAAACTACCTATTTACAGTTCTTTTCCCTATGGATGATAAAGAAACTTTATAACATAATATGTGGAAACATTAAGTAGGCCCTACGTTTCCCTAAAGTTTAAATATATGAGAAGATAAGCTTTTATCAATTTCATGCTTTTTTTAGTTTGTCTTTCTTTAAAAGAGGAGAAGTGATATTAATGTCATGCGTGAGTCATTACTGTTCTTGCCTAAAATAAGAGAACAGCTGGTTTGTGTATACGTCGTTTTACTTGGTAAAGCATTATTATTTATTTAGATGTCCACTTACATGAATCTTTCTCAGTACATGCTTCAAGGATAAGTTCAGAGTATTACAACGATACTGGCATTTATTATGTGAATGATACTTGCTCTTGTAAATGGTGCAATTGTTTGAAGTAATCTTTCCTTTCCTTTTCCTGGAGATTTTTTATTGTTAACTTTGAGATGTAATGATGGATATTTCTCATGTGCATTAAAGTTATAGGATTGGTAAAAACTAGTATCTTTCATGTTATTGGATCATGCCTCTATGCTTTTTAGGTGGATCATATTTCAAGGAATTCAGCCCAATACCATTAGGAATTTAGGATTTAACTTATCAAAGTTTATATGGAAATCATCAACTATTTATACAGGAATGGATTTGCATTGTATGATTGTTAACTACTCTCATCGATGAAAAGACAAGGCATTCAGATTGATGTAATGTGAAACCCTCAATATTTCTAGATCTGGCATTATTATTTGAGATCTGGTGATATGGGTGTTCTTCTAGCATTTGTCTTTGAGTTAATCCACTCGTAATCCATTCCGTTTATGATCAAGGTGTTCTGTGTTGATTCGTTTGTGGTATGCTTCCAGTATCACGTAATCTCATGCTCATTCTGTACTTGCTTAAAGGATGATTGGTTTCTCTTTAACTGTAATCCCCTTTAAGTTAGATACTCTTTTATTATTATTTTTTTTTTATTTATTATTTTATTGCCCACAGAGTTGAAAATCAATCTTCCATTAGCATGGATGTGTTTTAACTAACAAGGTGGGAAACAAATACATTTCTGCTGGTCATTTCCTGATGACAAAGTTATTTGATTTGTTCGTTTGAATAGAAGATATTTCTTGAATATCATCTATTTAGTGTCATCCTGGATGGGATCTGCATTCAGTGTTTTGCTAATTTTTCTATAGTTTATACCGTGCTTGCTTTCTATCTCCCCTTGATTTTTTTTTTTTATAATGTCTCTTTTAAACTTAAATAGTTGAATGCAAGAAAAACCTCATTTGCTATCCCCATTGGATCTTAACTCTGAAACTGATAACTAAATCGCATGCATTTGATCTTCTGTTGATCAGTAATCAGATCTTATGTATCTTAGCCACGCCTTACCACTGATCACATTTGAGAGCATTTATATGCTTGGTTGTCAAAAAGTTCTGTTTTTTCCACACCTTAAACATAGGGACATCATGGTTGCGAATTCAATTGTGTTTCCACCATCACGATGGTGATTTATGTGTTCTTTTTGACCTTTCACCATATTTTGACTGCTTGTCACAGTATGGATTCAGATGCAATAGTCATCAAATATGTTCTCTATGTAAGAAACCTATTGGCTATTGGATAACATCAAAAGATATATTTAAATTGAAGTGTTCAATTACTGATAAATTGGTTTTGTGAATTCCAAATGCTATGAATAGATGATGCTGAATTGGATTTGGTATGCAAGATTGACTGGCACATTTTCCTTTGGTTTCAGGCTTCAAAATCTTTGCTCGTGATAAAATGGAAGTAAAAATGTTTCATCAAACTGTCCAGATTCACTCCAAAAATTGCTGAATTGTTTTACAAGAAAAGATCTTTCGAAACTTTGCTTCACGGAAAAGAAGAAATTGGCTTCATCCAAGTGTAAAATGTCTGAGCAACCACCAAAGTCAAGCAAGAAAATTTTGAAGGGTCAGGAACAAAAGAAATCGTCTTCTAGTCCCAAGGATCATCTTTCAAGAAAGCAGCAGAGGAAAGGGGAAAACCCCGTCCGAATACCACCAGCCACAGAGCAGTGTTCAGATTTTAAATGTTCAAGTTCATGGATCTGCAAAAATTCTGCTTGTCGAGCTTCTATTTCAATAGATGACACATTCTGTAAGAGGTGCTCTTGCTGTATTTGTCACTTGTTTGATGATAATAAGGATCCAAGTCTTTGGTTGGAATGTGCTTCAGAGTCTGGTCAGGGAGAATCCTGTGGATTAACTTGCCACATTGAGTGTGCCATCCAACGAGGGAAGGTAGGGGTCGTTGATCTTGGACAACTAATGCAGCTAGATGGGAGTTATTGTTGTGCTTCGTGTGGTAAAGTTTCTGGAATACTCGGGTATGTCCTTCACCCAAATTCTCTTTTCCTTCAGAGTCACTTTGCCAAGATTTATTAGCTTTTCACTAATGCTCATAGTTATCTATATGTGCTTGACTGCAGCCAAAAAGACAAAGCCAGGATATACGTTTTAAGTTGTAGTGCCTCATATAAGAATCAATTTAGGGGGATATCATCTCAAATAGTTATCCACATAAGCTTATTCTCTGTTTTGATTGAATTTGACAGGTTTTGGAAGAAACAACTTAGCATAGCAAAGGATGCTCGCCGTGTTGATGTCCTTTGTTATAGAATATACTTGTGTTACAGGCTCCTCGATGGGACTTCTAGATTTCGAGAGCTACATGAAATCATTAAAGAAGCCAAGGCAAAATTGGAAATAGAGGTTGGCCCCGTGAATGGAGTTTCAGCCAAGATGGCCCGGGGCATTGTTAGCAGGCTTTCTGTTGCAGTTGATGTGCAAAAGCTTTGCTCTCAAGCTATTGAGAAAGCAGATGAATGGCTAGCTACAAAGCCCTGTGCTGCCCCTAACCTCGGAGGTATTACTTGTCTAGTTAAACCAGCATTAGATAATTTTTGTTTTGATATACTGAATTAAAAGCTATCGTCTTTTTATGTAAAGATATGCCTTTTTTTTCCAGAGGGTTCACGCCCAGCAGCCTGCAAGTTCCTTTTCGAGGAAGTGACATCTTCTTCAGCTGTTATTGTACTCATAGAGCTGTCCACTGCATCGTCAGAAGATGTCAAAGGCTACAAGCTCTGGTACTGTAGGAATAGAGAAGACGTTTACACAAAAGAGCCACTTTGTGTCTTTCCAAGAACTCAGAGAAGGGTTTTGATATCTAATTTACTTCCCTGCACAGAATATTGCTTTAGGATTGTATCATATACAGAGGCAGGTGACTTGGGACACTCTGAGGCTAAGTGTTTCACAAAGAGCGTTGAGATATTCAGTAGAAACGTGAGCCCGACTGATAGAAATCACGGTAAGGGGAATCTAGACACTGGAGGAAGCTCCAAGGCTATAACAGCAGTGGAGTCGGATTCTGGGTTCAAGGTCCGTGACCTTGGAAAGATCTTAAGGCTAGCCTGGGCTCAACAGCAAGGCTGCTCGGAGGGCTTATGTGGAGCAGAAATAGAAAAGTTTTGTGAATGCAACAATGTTAAACCTAACACCGTACAAAAGGACCATAAACCTTCTGCTTCTCGGCAGCTTGACTTAAATGTTGCTTCAGTTCCTGATTTGAACGAAGAGTTAACCCCTCCTATTGACTCTTCTAGGGATGAAGATAACGGGTGCACGATTGGGCAAACCGTTGAGGCAGACGATGCTGTCTCTCATGACAATGAGAGGAATGGTGTTGCCGGGTCACATGGGACCCACGACTTTGTAGTTGATTCCAAGGTGGAAGGACGGAAGAAGAGGGCAGCTAGCACCACCAATGGTGAGACACACGACTCTGATAGCACACTGATAAATGGATCGCCAATCCAAATTCAGAACGGTTCAGGGTGCTTTGACGAAAGCTTTGAATACTGTGTAAAGATTATACGCTGGCTGGAATGCGAGGGTCACATAAAGAAGGACTTCAGATTAAAGTTGCTTACTTGGTTTAGTTTGAGATCAACAGAGCAGGAACGACGGGTGGTGAACACCTTCATTCAAACTCTCATGGATGATCCGGGTAGCTTAGCAGGACAATTGATTGATTCTTTTACGGACATCATATCCTGCAAGAGGCCTCGCAATGGCTTTTGCAGTAGGCTCTGGCATTAAAAGGTGCAAAACACAGAATTGAAACTTAGTTTTAACATTTATTTTGACGAATCGTTGCAGAAAATCTTGCCCATTCTCTCTGTACAGGCAATATTTTTTGTGAAGTTGCTAGTGAAGTGATTCATTGGTAGTGGACTGGCAGGCCTGTGTAGCTCAGCCTATAAAACATTTGGATTCAAGAAAGCTTTTACTTTTGTGTAGGAAGGAAGAATTGACTCTCTCCCTCCAGGAGGGAGAGAATTTAGATTCAAGAAAGCTTTTACATTTGTAGGAAACCATTTCTTGTTTCTCTGAAAGCACCCAAACTGAAACATAACTCAAATATTTCAGTATTCATTTGGATAATACATCATTGTGTTAAGTTACATTTGGTGCCCAAATCCTATTTTAACTTCTTGAATCTTGCTTTTCCACTTCTTATTTGATTAAACTTTTATTGAGCTAAGTTTTTGATGCACTTTTAGTGTATATATTGATAGTGAACAAGAAGTTGTTAGTTCATTAATGGGTAAGTCAATTGTGGTAATTTATGATGAGATCAATGTATTATTTTAATCATATGGATCTCTAAAAAAGTGTTCGCAGCAAGAATTTAAGAATGAAAAATGAGAATTTACGTAGTATTTTTTGTCCACATTATCGACTTGTAGGGATGTGTTTTTTTTTTTTTTTTTTTTTGTGGGACAGCTGGCCTAGAGATTTAAATATTTGTTTATTATCAATATTATAAATTTAATGATAGACTTAATACTTGTTTGAAAACAATTATGAGCTATGGATTGTGTTAAGTTAATATAATCCAAGACTCTTTAGATTATTTAGAGTTCATTAACTAAACTAAATGAGGTAACCATACCATGCAAGGGGTGAATGACTTCATTACAATATATGCTCACCAAACATGATAAAGCCTCATTAATTATTTATGTATTTATTTATTTTTAAGCTAAGGCCAGAAGAGTAGAGGATTCAGTCTCAACTAATTGACCAACATATGATTGACTATTTAAAAAAAATTATTGAATTTAGTTTGAAAAAATTAAAATAAATGAATGGTTGGCAATAAGTCATTAACAATTGCCTAATGAGGAGAAAAAAGTTGGTCGTTGGACTTTTCTAGACGGAATACTCCAACAAGAAACAAAGGAATCCTTTTTTTGACTTAGTAAATTAATAATGTTTTTCATTATATTTTTAATGTGTCTGAAAACAATCAATTTTTGTTAATTATATTGCTCCCGCCGGCTGAAAGCTGGCTGCTGCTCAACTATATATATACTATTTTCTTCTAGTAGTATTTATGGATTTTTGACTGAATTGGTTTGTTTTCATAGAAAAGTGACAAGAATAAATAATTTTTAAAACTTAAATAAAAGATGAAAAATTCGTTTGCGACTTGAGTTTCTTGTTAGAAACACAACTCGCACTTGAATTTCTCAAAATTTTGAACTTTTTTTTCTGTTAAAATATGACATGCAAGTATTTGTCAAAGTGTATACAAGAAACACAAGTCATACATGCATTTCTTGTTCGTATTCTTACGAACGAGAAACGCAAGTACAACATGCGTTTCTTGTTGTCGGAGATATCTGTCATCTAAAAACTCAAGTTCGGACTCGATTTGACCTCAAACGAGTCGTCGATCGGCAATCTTCCGGTGTCTCCATATCTCGTCCCTGTGTCGTCATCGTCGATAGTCTTCCAGACTCCAAAGTTAGGGCTTGGGGGGATGGGTGCGGGAGTGCAGGAGCGATAGTACTGGAGTAGGGTAAGCCTTAGAAGGGAGTAAAATTTTAATAATAATAATAATAATAATAATAATAATAATAATAATAATAATAATAATAATAATAATAATAATAATTAAATGATGAACTTATTGAATTAAAATATTTACATTATATGTTTATTTTACATACAGAACAATATCAATGTTTATAGTTTACATTAGCGTTATGAAAATAATAAATTAAAATTTAACGTGTCAATTTTCTTTTCTTTCTTTTTAAGCATAATTTCAGTATTGCCTTTGGTTTCAATTTACTAACATATAACCCATATTTATTAAAAAAATTTATTACTAAATATTTAATTTCGATTTTATTTACTAGATTCAACCTAAAGATACAGTCAACTAAATATTTAATTTCTTAATTTTCTTGTAATTTAAGTATTAAAATTGTAATTTTTCTTAATTACTAATATTGCTACCATCAAACAAAATATCATATCATGGATAATATATAACACGTGTTTATTTATTGGTCTAAAAATTATGTGTCTACCGTTAACATATTCTGTACATGCAGTTAACAAATATCTGTAAACAAATTGAAGGTACACAACATAGTAATTACAAACAAATAACTTAATAACATGATAATTATAGACACATAAATTGTTAAATGCAATTACATAATATGTTAACTACAGACACATGCATAAAAAATGTTGTGTATACAATTAACATATTTTGTACCTGCAGTTAAAAGTTTACAATAATTATAATCTCGTACTTTGGGATGTGCATCGATTGTCCACTGTGTGGTCAATTTTGTGGGCTTTAGGGGTTAGGTTAGGAGTTAGGGTTTAGGGGTTTAATGTGTTCATTTACAAACTGTTGTACACCTTTCTGCACTCCCAAAATAAAAGTTCTGTATTGCTAATAGTAAAAGTGTGTATTTTTATGGAATTAGTGGTGCATTACTTTGTTGTGAGGTGGTGTGGGAGTGGTTGTGTGTTGCGATGGTGGATGTGGCTTGTAGATGTAGTATTTGTGTATCGGTGTTACAGTGTCAGTGCATCGATGTTGTAGTTTTATGGTGTTAGTTGTGGTGCATTATTCTGTCATTAGCTAGGGTTTGTTTATCGTGGAGTTTTGTCATTTTTTGACTTCTAGGCGTGGTGTTAATATTAGTGATAAAGAATAATTGTCTGTTTCCATCCCTATTGTTAGAGAAGAAACATGTTTGTAAAGTGTAATGTGGAAGGAATGTTTATTTGTCTATTTTGTCGCGGTCGGATGCTTCTGGGTGGACTAATTTGCCCTTATTTGTATATTCCCTATTATATTGTGGTAATAATATCCTTAATTTTAGCAAATGGATGTATAGATCACAGTTGTCCGTCTCTTAATTTTAATGGTTCATATTATATTATACCACAGTTCTCATCCAGACACATGATTTTTATGGGAGCTAGGCCCTACACATATATGATGCTTGCTTAACTTTTCTTCAATCCTATTCATTTGTTTTTAGTACATTAAGGGTTGGAAATTAAATTCGAGTCATGTGTACTTAGATAAGAAGGTTTTTGATAATTCTTAAAAACTTGAGGATTGAGTAAACTATTGTCTTGTAATATAATTTAAGTATTAAAATTGCAATTTTTCTTAATTAGTAATATTACTACCAACAAACAAAATATCATGGATAATAACTTGTGTTTATTTATTTATTTTTGCTATTTGAATTTCAAATCAAATCTGTAATAATAAATCAATGGACAATGTAATTTGTTAATTATTTATAAAATTAGAAAAATGTTAAGTAATTCGATCTCCTAAATTTACCACTCACAACAAAGTCACTCCATGATGTAACAAGTTTAAATAGATTTCTTTTTGTTTTTATTTTTTTATTTTCAAATGTCGAGTATTAGAGGGAGTAACGACTTCGTTATGAGTGGTAGATGTATGAGCATATATCATTCTCTATAAAATTATTATTGGAAAAGACATCCTTAGGCTTTTTATAATGAATTTTGTGTGTGATATTAACAAAACGTCCAACTACTAACAGTGAAGAATGTTCCAATAAGTATCAAGAATTTAGGTCTCATCACATTCACCTCAAATATGTTTGAAACATGGTATTAATTAAGATCCCATATACTAAATTTAAATCGATTATCTTAAAATATAATTTTGACTAAAAAATATTGACTCAATAATAGTACGTGTTGCATGAGAATCAATTAATGCATCGTAATTAATTTAATATTAAAGTATTATCTCGTATATACTTTCATATCCTCCGATCCATTTGTTGCCGGCCTATATATATAACAAAGTCCTAAACCATGAAAACCCACACAATATATTAGTCACCAATAATATATCAGTCTTCTTCTTCTTCTTCTTCTTCTTCTTCTTCTTCTTAATTGTTTAAAAACTGTGAGCATAAAGAATGAGTGAGGGTTTATCAAAAGCTCTTAATGTAAGAAAGGTTGGGAGTGGAGAAGAGACACTGATTCTAACACATGGGTATGGATCAGACCAATCTGTGTGGGACAAAGTTGTTCCCAGATTGTCTGAATCTTACCAAGTTGTACTGTTTGATTGGTGCTTTTCTGGAGCTGTTGAGGACAGGAGTTTATTCGATGCTGCCAAGTATTCTTCCTATGAGCCTTTTGCCGATGATTTGATTGCCCTTGTGGAGGAACTCAACCTCAAATCTTGTGTTCTTCTTGCTCATTCCATGTCGGGTCTTATTGCCTGCATTGCTTCCATTAGAAAACCTCACCTCTTTAAGAAGCTCATCCTTGTCTGTTCTTCACCCAGGTATATATAATAGCGATTAGCTGATAACTGTTAGTTATAGCATTAGCTGATTGTAGAAAGATGTTTGGTAAATTAGTTGTTAGCTGATATTTGATTATATATATTTTGGGGTGCAGGTTCTTGAATGACAGGGATAATGATTATAAAGGAGGGTTCGAGAAATCAGACGTTGACCAATTGCTCTTTAACATTGAAACTAACTTTGATCAATGGACTTCAAGCTTTGCAAACGTTGCAATGGGTACAAAAGACCCTCTTTCCGTGGAATATTTGGACAAAAGTTTTAAGAAAATGGGAGCCCAAGTTGCTTTAGCCCTGGCAAAACTCATCTTCTTCAGTGATTATAGGAGTGTTCTTGACAAGGTTACTGTCCAGTGTACCTTAATTCATGCCCAGGTTGATTTCGCGGTTCCGCCCGAAGTCGCTACCTTCATGCACCAAAACATTAGAGGTAAAGCCACGATTAAGGTTATCGAATCTGAGGGACATTTCCCTCAGCTAACTGCTCATGAAGAATTCCTTAAGGCTGTTCTTGCTGCCTTAACTTGAATCTCTTTCCAGTTTATTTGGTAAGGAAACAAAATTCTCTGTAACATCTATGATCTATGTGGTTGTGCATTAAGGTTTATGTGCAACAAATAATAACCAGTTGGCCTGGTCTACCCTTGTTTCAGTGTGCTTTTGTAGTTTTTATCAATGTGTTTTAGTGTATTTTCTTAATTTTATCAATGTCTTTTTGTAACCTCCATATCAACTGTTTTAAACAGTTAAAGTATTATTATTATCATGTCAAAAAATGTCCCTCTCAGAAAACTGGAAATAACTCAACTACCATTGTTCAAAAAATGAGTGACAATTCCCACAAGTGACGATTCCCCCTGGGCCAGCTCCTGTGCCTCTCGGAGCGAGCGAGGATTAGTCAGATGGACCCGGAACACCTCGTGGTTTACACCAAAAAAAAAAAAAAAAACAGACTGATGTAGTTAAATTAGGCAATCTCCACTTCTCAAACTCTGCAGTAGCTCTAAATACCCGAAATCTTCGGGCTTTATGTACCTGCAGGCATTTCATCGGGTTGTTAACGCTGCAACTCGCATTATCGTGCTTGTACAGATACTGAAGTTATTACACAGCTGAAGAAGACATGAGAAATATAATGCAGGCAATAAATTAATAGAAAACGGAAATCCATACCCATGCCGGATAAGGAAATCAATTATAACAACATTGCAGTTTGCTTTGAAAAATGAAGTCCTCCTGATTATATTTGCAACTTCAGAGATGGGGACCAATCTAAAGCTTTCGACCTCCCCGTCTGTAAGTGCAACAATGAAGAAAACATATAAGCTTACAATCCCTGTGGGCATAAGAAATCAGAATTTGATCAATTACCTTCATTACTAGGAATAAAGCTTTCGGGAAGCTTAAGATCATAGCAAAAGAGGACATCTCTCTTGAATCTATATCTATTTATGTCCATGTATGACACAGCCCCTACTGGTATAGCCCTGACCAGAAGAAGATAATCGGGTCGGTATATAATGTTTATAACACGTGAGTATCTCGAAAAAAAAAAATATTGAGTCTCTAGACTCTAGCCCACAGTTGGATTACTCCAAAACTCAACATCAACTCTGACACAAATGGCAATCCAACTTACTGGGTGGAAAAAGATTCTGGAATCCTGGCTTCTTCTTTGCATTCTTTCACAAGATTCTCTCCACAAGAAATCCCATGTGGCTGCAATCAATGACCACCGCATATATTAAATGTTAAATGATCTTGGATAACTAGCAAACTAGAACTCCATTGGAGAAAAAATATTCGGTCTGCAAAAATAAGAATTACTAAATAGTTCTCAACAGTATTAAAAAACCTCCTGGTGAAGTGTCAGTAGAAAACAAATCTGATAATGTATGTTCCGAGACATAACCTTTGGTCAATCAAGGTACCATGAAAATATATAGAGGCTATACGTACTAAAGTATAAAGCTTCCAGTTAGCAACGTACCAGTCCTCCAGCAACTAGATGATCAAGCATTCCAGGATATGTTGATTTCTTTTCACTTCTCCTCCCTATCCATAGAAATTTCTGCCCATTGCTTTCAACATAGCCATTCATATGAACTCCATAAGCCTGAGACACAAAGTTCCAGAAAGTGGAAGAGGAGGGAGGAAGGGTTGGTTTAAGAAATACTTATGAACTGAGCCAAAAAAAAGGGCATTTCCGAACACAATTGTGCTACTCCATACACCTGGTAGTGGAAGCAAAAAACGCACCTTTATCCCAAAGTATGGTGCTGCTGCTCTTTCCATTGAAAAAAATATTGATGAACCAAAAGATGACACTACTGGATATAGCTGATTGTGGTCAACATATCCCGAAGAGGTATCAAAGAAGAGAACAATACAAGTCAGTATCATTGATGCCTAATCATAGAAAAAGTGATCACGGGGCTACAACATTGTTAAGCAATCAGAAGAAGTACCTCATTCCGTATACCTGGAATCAGTTCTTCCCCTAAAGACTTGACCACTTCAGCAAAAGCAGCAGTCCTATCCTCCGGTGTCTTAAGCACCGGATGTAATGTAACATGGCACCCGAAATGGGTGCCATAAGAATTATCTTTGGGGAACACAAACACATTTCTAAATGCCCTCAGATGATCAGCAAACCTACATAACATTGAATTAGCCCCTGAGTAAAGAAACATTAAACAACTCTGTACGAAACAAAAAATTCTTAGTATGTTGCTAAGCTTTGAGTAATGTAGTTCTTCAAGCAACCTAACATTCATGAAAAATCCAACCTTTAAACCAATTATATTCAAACAGATTATTATAAATTGACAATAAGATTGAGTCCTGAACAAGATACAATACTATAAGTCATAAATTAAAGGGCATTACCCATTGTGAACATAGCCAACTATTTGATTCTCCATAACAAATGGCATGAATTCATTTTTCTTTTCCTGCAACAAATATCAAAATGTTTTCTTCAAAAAAAAAAAAAAAAAAAAAAAAAAAAAAAAAAAAAAAAAAACCTATAATAAAAATCAGAGGATGGGGGGCGTCTTACGGAATTGCGATTGCAGAGTTTGACCTTATCGAAGAAGCCTTGTAGGTCAGAAGAGTCGTTTCCAGGCGAATTTGAGACTCGAGACACATCATCCCAAGTGAAGCTGATAGTGCCACTTCCTCCGCCACCGTCGCCGTGAGAGGAGACTGAAACGGCGAAGGGCCGACAGGGGTAGCGTAAGGAAATGGTGGGTAGAAGGGTAAATGAGGAATTTGTCTTAGGAAGAAATGAGGAAAATGAGAGTTTTTGAGAGAAATGGTGACAGTAGAGATGGGAAGCCATTCTTGAGTTCTTAGGAATTTGAAGCACAAGATTCGGATGAACCGACGTGAAGAACAGCTGACCGCCTGATCGAGCCTGGCATGTGAATATAATCGAGCATCAATTTTATTTATTTATTTATTTTTGGAAAAGTATTAAATAAGCTGTTGAATTTTTTACCAAAAGTTAATTAAACCACTGATTCTGAGGTTTGGCCTTGGAAATATTTCACGCAAGTTGCTTGAGGAGATTAAGAGTCTTTTTTTTTTTTTTTTTGTGTCGGCAAAGATTAGGATACAAAAGGAATTAACCCTCGATGCGTTTTGTAATGCTGAGTCTGAGACGTAAGCCTTAATTTTTATCAAAAATATATTAATAACCTATACACATTGTTTATAAAATACGCCACAATAACAATTCTGAAATTAATTTTGAATAATACAAATATCTAAACACAAAAATATGATTGAATAAATATGATTGAATATAAGAGTCTATTCAATTCATTTATCTTCCTAGTGTACAATAAGTGTTTCTAATTGTTTGTTTGCAGCACTTATAACCCCATGCATTTTCTTTCCACCAAGAACCCCAAACACTGGTATGATTGTTAATGTAAACATCCTCTTCATATTTGCTTGTTGGGAGTAACATCTCATCTTCCTTAACAATCCTCCCAAACCGATCATATTCTACTTGAATATCACTTTGACCCAGTAAAAGTTCTGGGGACAGTGTTTCCTCGTTAGCTGCATTCCCATATTTCTCCAAGATGGTGTCCCTTCTTTGAGACTCCAACTTCTCCTTACTGATTCTATAGCTTTTATAGAGCAATTCGGCTTGGGAGGGAGCTAGCGCTGCTTCAGATTGCATATGAATATGGAGATGATTCAATAACTCGAGTGCTTCACCGCTTAATCTATTATGGTTATCCCCGGCATAGAATTTGTCTTTGGGATCCATATCAAGAAGGGGATCTTCACGCATGGACCGGGTTTTGGGATCATAGTGGGCAGAATTTGGATCAAGATTGAGAAGATATTTAGCAGTGTCTTCCCGGATACGCAGATTCCTGACAGTAGTCCTGGTGATCTCTATTTGCTGCTTACTTTCATCCTCCAGATCTTCAATTCATTGTAGTGATCTATTATTGTGGTATTATTACTATATTCAATTGTATTTTTTATTTTATTTTAAAATCTGAAACTGAGAAAAATATATATGTATCGATATAATATTATTTCTACAGTGAAAATTTCAATTTTGGTCCACTGACTATTAGGGGTTGTGTTAATTGTAACACTTAACTTTAAAAAATGTTAATTTAGTACTTTGACTATACAATTTCTATCAATTTTGGTCACGCCGATCAAATCTCACCGAAAAAATTTAATAGGTCAATTTATGAGGGTATTTTAGTAATTTTACTTACTACCCCTTTCTTCTCCGATTAGTTCTCTCCATTTCCGATTGACGATTCTGAAGGGTATCGAACTCCACTGCCACCACATGGTTGGAAGCATTGCCATAGGAGTTGGTTTCATTGAAGAGACCAAAATATGGGTACGGAAATGCGCCAGGAAGACTTCTTGGGGTAAAAGGCATGGCCTTTTTGCATCATGGTTTCATTTGTTTGAGGCATGGGGTCACCATAGCAGAGGCCGTTGATGATGGCTACTAGCACTATAAGCTTGAGGCACATCATTGCATTATTTTTTTTTTGATCGCTTTCGCAAAATCCACCGGGAAGGCAAAACGAAAAAAGATGGAGCCGCCGATTAGTGACTCGCCGGCCTCTTTGTCGTCTATGTAAAAGCCAAGGAATAACGGACAAAATCATCCTTCTCTTTCGAAAAACCCAAAGCTATGAACAGTACCAAAATTCGATCTTCAAATCATAATCAGACAACACATATTATAATAATATGATAATGAAACATGAAACCAGATTATAAACCGAATCGAGAAGCCAGGTTGTCGCCGAAAATGGAAATGGAGAGAACTAATCGGAGAAGAAAGGGGTAGTAAGTAAAATTACTAAAATACCCTTATAAACTGACCTATTAAATTTTTCCGATGAGATTTGACTGACAATTTTGTCGCCGTGATCAAAATTGATAGAAATTGCATAGTCAAAGTACTAAATTAACATTTTTAAAAGTCAAGTGTTGCAATTAACACAACCCCAATAGTCAGTGGACCAAAATTGAAATTTTCTCTATTCTTACATATAATGTAACAATGTTATGAATGAAAATGAGGATCATGAGCCTATCTCTATCAAAGAGGGTAGACATAGAGATGATTGGCCAATGTGAAAAGATGCAATCAAATAAGAATTATATATAGTCATTTGCAAAACACAAAGGGAGTGTTTGGCAAATGACTTATACCTAAAATCTAGCTTGTTTGACTGATCAAATAACTAATATGAGTGTTTGCAATGCTAATTATAGATTAAGTACAAGAAGGTAACACATCCAATAAGTAGAGATGAATCCTATAATTATCATATAATTTAGAGACGAAAAGTATCATTTTCTCTTAGGGCTCGTTTGGTTCGCATAAAATATTTTAAGGGAAGTGAAATTGGAATTCCATGGAAAAACAATTACTAGGAATATGAATTTCATTGTTTGGTTGGTGGAAAAAGAATTAATAGGAATAATAATTCTATTGTTTGGTTAGATTTGAAATTGTAAGGAATAATGAGTATAAAGACTTATATGCCCGGCCCTACAAATTAATAAAAGTAATATAATTGAAAAAGAAAGCAAGGGTACAATAGGCAATCTATTCACTTTTTCTTCCCATCTTCCATGGAAAACAAAATTCTTGGTCAAACCAATGATTTTGTTTTCCTCAAATTTGAGGAATTCATTTTCCAATAGAAAATGAATTCCATGAACCAAACACTAGAAAACAACATTTTCCTTCACTTTAAGGAAAATATTTTCCAAAAGGAAAACATTTTTCATGAACCAAACATCCTCTTAAATTAAAGTATTAAACACTTGATAGGAGAACTGTTGATTTGTCTCATATAGGGATTAGGAATATGAATTTGTCTCATACTAGGAATAGGAGTGAAACGGGTAGACCCATCGTATAGGGATTAGATGCCTATAAATATATTGGTTGTATCCCTAAAGGGTTGGGTGTCACCACTATCACCATCACTATGAATAAGAGTATTGTTTCACTCCCGTGGATGTAGGCACTTTGCCGAACCACGTAAATCTTGCTCTTCTTTACCCTTTATGCCATTATTATTTTTCTTGTTCTTATTAATCTCAACAAATTGGTATCAGAGCATAGTTGAGATGGCTAGCTAGTTCAAGTACAAAATTCGAGGTATCAAAGTTTGATAGTATAGGGAATTTTGGGTTATGGCGGACTAGGGTAAAGGATTTGTTGGCATATCAGGGCATTCTGAAAACCTTGAGGGTGGAAAAGCTAACTAATCTGGAAGAGGCTGATAGGGAGGAGTTGAAGAAGCAGGAAGCTACGGATGTGGTACATGCTGATGACTCTTATTATAGTGAAGGTGATGTTCTAGCTGTTACAAGCAACAAGTTCGAACATTGTTTGGACTTGTTGGATGCTTCTAGATGCTAGATGAGAAAGTGGTGAGGGGCGCTGTGGTGTTGGGAAGCGCGGATACTAGGAGGGGTCGTGGACCTGGTATCGATATGGGCTTATTTGGGCTCGGTATGTGCTGGTATGGCACTGGTTAGGGCCGATATAGGCTTGGTATCGGTATGGGTCGGGCTTGGCGTGAGTCACGGTTGGTATGGGTCGGGCTTGGCATGAGTCACGGCTGGTATAGGTCGGACTTGGCATGAGTCACAGCTGGTATGGGCTGGGCTTGGCATGAGTCACGGCTGGTATGGGAGGACTTCTCGGGACGACGAAGAAGTTCGTGAACATGCATTGGGAAACGTTTGATGCTGCGTTGTGCGTGTTGCTGGCCAGTGGTAATTGCTGGTTAGTGGAGCATTGAGCAAGGCACACGGGTTTAGTGTGACTTTGCAGGGGCGCTGTTGTGTTGGGGCAGCGTGGATACCATGAGGGGATATGGACTTGGTATGGGCCAGATGCAGGAGATCAGCTAAACGGGACAGTAAGCATGAGTCGAGGCTGATATAACAGGTCGACGACCGAGGGGCGAATGGCTTGGGACAAAGCAGTTCGTGTACATGCACTGGGAAACGTTTGATGCTGCGTGGTGCATATGGCTGGCTAGTTGGATGAACATGGTTGTTCCTACCCATGTGTATATGTGAGATAAGTCTTTTTCTCCTAAGGGGCATAATTGTGAAGGTGGAGATGGTGAGATAAGTCTTTTCTCCTAAGGGACATATTTGCTAAGGTGGAGATTTGTTGAGTTATCTTTTTCTTCTAAAGGGCATATTTGCGAAGGTGGAGATAGTCTTTTCTCCTAAAGGGCATATATGTGAAGGTGGAGATGGTGAGATAAGTCTTTTCTCCTAAAGAGCATATTCGTCAAGGTGGAGATTTGTTGAGTTATCTTTTTCTCCTAAAGAGCATATTCGTCAAGGTGGAGATTGTTGATTTGTCTCATATAGGGATTAGGAATATGAATTTGTCTCATACTAGGAATAGGAATGAAACGGGTAGACCCATCGTATAGGGATTAGATGCCTATAAATATATTGGTTGTATCCCTAAGGGGTTGTGTCACCACTATCACCATCACTATGAATAAGAGTATTGTTTCACTCCCGTGGATGTAGGCACTTTGCCGAACCACGTAAATCTTGCTCTTCTTTACCCTTTATGCCATTATTATTTTTCTTGTTCTTATTAATCTCAACAAGAACAAGTAGCTAGAGCAACCTCTCCCATCAAACCAAACAACATTAATAAAATTTGCCTACAAAAGGTGAAACCTCTCGTCATAAAGGACTCATATCAGACCCAACAAGATCATAAATGAATAAATCACAATAAAATTTTTCATTACTGGTATATTAATTGCAACTTGCAATTGTATATTAGCATGGACTTTGTTGATAAGGATGGATAGAATTAATAAAAATGATTTAATAATCTATTTCTTTTTCATAATTTTATCATCTTTAATTCTTTTTTTTTTTTTTTTTACCAACCATTCCAAATAGAATAATCTCTCCTCTCTTAAATCATAAATAAAGACATTCTAGAGAGTCTTAAACTGAGCTCCTCTTCGAAGGTTTGTTGGTGGAGTAGAATTCCATTTAAAATGTGAGAGTTGTGTACTTGCGTTGTTGGAGAAAATTTGGGTGCAACCCCACAAATTGAACTTGTTCCATCACTTGGACTCCACCTTTGTCTTTAGAGAAATGGAAACTTCTTCAATAACTCTAGAATTTTATATATATACGTAGAAACATTTACTCCCTGTCGCAAGTGGCGCCATCTAGAATATGCAAATATATTAAATTAGCCGCCGTCAGAGACGGCGGCACTCCGCTTATCCTCTTTAAATATTTAATATTAATTAATAGTTTAATAATTGAATTGGTTGGTGGAGTTAAGTGCGAGCTAGGGAGAAGACCAACATATAGATTTCGCTATCAGTATCACTATCGTCAACTCTTTTATATGTAAACGTGTTTATTATGAGTTATGACACATCAATAATCGTTAAATTCTAGACAACTTCAAATCAAATTCAATAACAATTAGTTTACATACGGTAAGTTTGTATGATCAAAGTTCTAATATAATAAAAATTGACAATTTTTGTGCTTTTGTCAAAAAAATTGAGTTAGTTAGTATTATTCTTGTGCTGTCAATATAATCAACAAAATAAGAACTAATGACACTGGCATGGACTGCTGAACGTGATGACTTCATATACGAAAACTACCACCAATTTATTGAATGAGAAAGTGCCATAAAAAAGTCTTGTTAGAAAAATTATGATTCTAACATGTTATTCAAATATGTGTTTGATAAGGAATATTCTTCGAGTATGTCTCCCTCTACGTACTGAACACCTGCTCGGTATTTGGTCAGTTCACTGAGGATAATTATTCCCGACCTTGCTCGATCATAAGCTCAGCCTTTCCGACCTAAATGCGACAATTGAGCTAGCTACAGATTGCGGCAGAATTTCGTTGCTCAGGAACTGACCCCGATCAACTCAAGTCGAAGCGATGATCCCGAACTGGGCTACTTTGGGGATGTGTGCTTTTACAATTTGAACATGCCTTAATCTGACCCCATCCTAGTAGGGCGATCGGGACTGTAAGCCCACGTGGGCGATCCGACAATGCATTGTTCCCGAGACCCTTTTCCTTCCCTATAAATATCATATTTATGGCTATGAGGGGAGATTTTTGGCTTTCTTACTTACCACATTATAGGTCGGGAGCCTCTGAGCTCACGTCCTTACCCGAACTCAATACGTAAATCAATAAGCAAACTATACAGGAATCTAAATCTGGTCCGACCTGCAAGATTGTATGTATTTGGAACTTCGCAGCATATTTATACTATTAGTGTTATAGGTGAAATCCGC